TCGTAGCTGGACAGAAGGTCTGGCTCGACACCCGCAATCTGCGTATCACAGGGATGCCGCGAAAACTTGTAGATCGACTGGCTGGACCGTACGTGGTCAAGAAACAGGTTGCGCCACTGGCATACGAGCTAGCGCTCCCTAAAGACATGCAAATCCACCCTGTGTTCCACGTTTCTCTCCTCACGCCCCACCAACACAGCGATCTCCCAGGACGTCATCCACCGGAACCAGCACCTCTCGAAGTGGAGGGGGAGGAGGAGTACGAAGTTGATGAAGTCCTCGACTCCAGGCGTTTCGGCCGCTGGAAGAAGCTCCAGTACCTCGTTCATTGGAAAGGCTGGGGCAACGAGCATAACAGCTGGGAGCCGGCGGAAAACCTGGTGCACGCCCCTCAGTTAGTCAAGAAGTTCTACGCCAAGTTCCCTTCAAAACCTCGATCGTGAGGACACGATCCTTTGGAGGGGGGTACTGTCACGAACCGCCCCCACGGGGCTACGTTTTCCTTTTCGATTCGGACCACTGCCTTGTACGTTCACCCCTTGTCTCCAGTCCTGCCTGTTGAGCTCCGCTCCAGTCTCACTGCGATCAGAGCTCGTCGGCGCTCCTGCCTGCCTCGCTCGTCTCCACTTACTCGCTCGACAGTCAGTCGTAACAACCTGATGTACGTATAGAATACCCGCCCATGACTGGATGGATGCAACAGCGGCAGCGTTGACGAGCCACACGAACACTTTGTTTGCGCTTCCCGTTCCATAGCCAAGGAAGGTGAGAAGTCCGACAAGAGAGCAGACGAGAACGCATGGGAGTGGCATCACCCACTTCACCTGGGCCGAAGGTAGTACTTGTTCCCCGGCAATCTGATCAGGTACGAGGGCTGGTTCCTCAAGCCCAAGGTTCTCGTCACCTGTATTTGTTGAGGGTTTCGGTCAAGTACTGCTTTAATGGTACGCGGGGAACGACGTACCAATGTCTCCGTCAGTGGCTTCATTGCTGTCAGAATCTGATTCTGTGGATAATTCTCCGTGTTTGGGCTGCGTGCGAGGCACACGAGCTCGAGGATATCTGACTAAATGATCCAGGAAGCTTGGGGCATGCTTACGACGAGCAAGGAAGAATAGGAATCGACTGCTGATATAGATATCTGACGAAGCGGCGGAGAGGGCGGAGAGAAGGATGGCCGCGTTTACGACGTTTGGCATCTGTGTTCCATTCAACAACAAAGTTATGAGATATAGAAGGCACCCAAAGGCTCACCAATTTCCACCCCGCGCGGGTGAAAGCAATGACAAAAGGGGATGCATGTCCGTTCTGATGACCAGGGCTTTCGCCGAGTGCGAGGAAAGGGTCGTCATATGGAACTAGGAGACCGGAAACGAGCACCCCACCAAGGTAGAATAGTGTTCTGAGTGGGGGAAATTGTGAAATCAGTACCGAAGTGGCCGATGAAGTTGTGAACACAGAATGCGCACATCCGGATCCATACTTTACGCAACGCTCGTGGAACGTTCTAAAGCTATGTCAGCGCGTATCATATTATGCTCTATGTCGCCAATGTCTTACACGGGTGGCATCAATTACTTCTCCAGCCGCCTACACAGCGAGTGTCAACGTTTAGACATCGGGCACAGAAGCTTTCAGCATACGATGCCTGGAAACTCCGAGCCGGAGAAGGAGAAGGACGCCTGCATTATAACTGCCCAAAAGCCTAGAAAATGTCCTGATGTACCAGTTGTTCCCAGGTATTTATCTGGGAAAGGTCTCTCTTTCCAGTATCGGAAACCAAGCCGCCTGTTGGAAGGTTGATGACATCATGTACAACCGGTCACGGAGAGACGAACCCTTGGGGGGACGCGCCGAGGTCGATGGCTAGTCCAAGTACGACTAAGCAAGGCCCAGTCAATGCAGACCATAACGACGCGGCGCAATGCGGAAGGACGCACCGATTAGGATAATAGTAATAAACTTGAGGAAGGAGAGGTAGTATTCCATTTGACCGTACACTCGAGTAGGAAAGCAGTTAATTACTGTAGCCCATGCAAGCTAAGTCATATGAACTCGACCATCAGCTCTTCGTCACGCGACATGAAAGATCTGTAACTCACAAATATTGCAGAAAAGATTGCCACGCTGGTGAAGATTGAGTGACATGATTGGCAGGGAGTATTTGAACGCTTTACTGTGCTTGTGAATCAGCGTCCCAGAATCCAATGATCACCGCAGCGGCAACAATTTCGGTGGCTGCTGGGCGATGGCCATCAGCAGCAACCAGCTAGTATTCCTAAGTTGCACACGAACGCAGTGCGATAGCCCAGTTATACTGTATCGAAAATCAGCGAACCAGGAGAATCAAAAGCAATCTGTCATACCCACGAAGCCCATCCTAAAGAGAAGCCGAGCGCTGGATCCACATAGAGGTCTGCAAGAACCACCACCCCTCCGAAGTTGGGGCTAGGGGAATGAGATGCCGATTCTCAGTCCGGGTACGAAGACAAGTGAAGACAGCTGTAGTCTGTCGGAATGCGGTCAGGTGACGTGTCAGATTAGATTAGATTACCTTACCTTCCTGTTATAGTAGACAAGCACTGCCACCTGCCAGCGGTGTAGACAGTGCTGGCTTCGCTCCTTCCTTTCCTCAGTCAGTGATCTTCCCACTAGACTGAGGTATGTTCATCTTCTATTCCCATACTATACTGTACTCATATGGTTCTTAGAGTCCTCTGTACAGGTATAGTCCTAATACAGTCAGTGATCTTCCCACTAGACTGAGAGTCCTCTGTACAGGATCTCTTAGGTTATGAGCCCTGGCTCCTCCAGCTGAGTTCTTACTCCTCATCACACCACCACTCCCCTGTGTCCAACTCAGAGTTGCACACATACTACCAGGTGTACGACTTTGAGTCCACCCTGCTCCCCATCTCTTGTGCCAGCACACCGGCGTTTTTCCCGCGCTTAAGCGCCCACACTTCGCCCTCAGGCCTCTGGT